CTTGTAGGCTGTGGGGATTCTTGAATCAGAGCAAAGAATTTGGCTGCAAATGTGGAAAGAGGAGCTGTCAGAAATGTGGATGTGGTGACACACCTGCACGCATGCACATATCTCTTTGGATGTTTTCAAGCATATCAGTGCAACATATATATTCATTTCCTGCCTCTCTAATTCAATTGAATTATTCAACTGAAATGTTTCATACAATTTTTTTTTTCAAGCAATGGTGAAAGCAGGATAAGTAATGTTGAAAGTCATGGAAAGGCATTTTGTTGGTTTGATCAAGGTAACTGGCTATCGTACAACAAAAACTTCAAAGCATTTCTGCCTGAACACATTTTTTTCAGAGACTTGATGACTGTCTAGGATTACTTTCAAAATCCTAGAAACAAAAAACATACCGCATTTACAGATTGCAGCACCTGCATAAAAGCAATTGACACATAAAATTGTGTTACAAAAGTTTTAAAATAATTGATCTGATCTTCCTCAAATCTATACTCTTTATTCCAGGAATAATAAATCACATTCATTTCTCTGAACAATTATTTATTGTCTGCTTTCCCTCACCCAGACTTTACTCCAACGTTCTGTGGTCTATCTAACATTTATAGCCTTGTGACTAGATTTAGGGGAAAGGAAAAGAAAGGGAGAGAGAGTGTGCAGTATTCTTGCTAGGGGAGAAAGGGGCAAGGGAATAGATATATTAATTGTGGACAAATTAATGCAGAAAAGAATTTAAAACAAACAAAAATGGCAATACAACCATTTAGGAGAAATCAGTGGTCATATATTTGGAAAGTGAACCTGTGAATTGGGGCAAGCCACTTAAGTATGAAAAATATGTTTGCATTAATAGGCTGTAAAGGTGCTGCTTTTTTTCCCCCAAAGGTCACTGAACCAAAAGAGCAACAAGTATAAAAGATATTTATGAATTACAATTACAATATTATCCCCTATGAATCTGTATCGTTTAGAACAGAATCATGTAATGATAATATAATTACAGTATATCACTGCCTATACTACTACTCACTGGTCACTGCCCCTTTCTACTGATATGCAGTTACTTCAACTTTGGGGTGTTGCCATGAGCGTGCTCATTTCTTTCCAAACAACTCTGCTCCGCTGGAGATACGTTGATGCTGGCTTTATTATACAGACTCACAGACCGAAGGTCTTGAAGAACTTCCGTCATGAATCCAGCCCTAGATCATTCAATGGAACTAGTTCATTTTCTGAGCATTACTGTGAAAATACAGATGGAATATATAAGAACAGTGAACGTCAGAAACTATAACAAGTTTTATGATACAGGTTATCTGCTCAGATACCGTATCAGTGGGACATAGCACTGAAGGTTTTAGACTACGACAGGGAGAGCCCTGTTGGGTGGTTATTAATTAATTTGTTTTGGGTCTTTTCTCCAGGAGCTCAGGACAGCTTTTCCCTTCTTTTTATCCCAGCAACATTGACCCTCTGAGGTTGATTGGGGTGAGAGTGATTGCTCCTAATGCAGTTTCTAACGTTGAGACTTAAAACTGGTCTCTGTAATCCTAGTTCAAGATCTTAACTACGACACCCCACTGGTTGAAGGTAGTTCATGGATAGTGTCTGGGTGACTTTTTTAGACCGTTCATAGTCTCTCAGCCCAATCTTACTGCAGGACAGTGATTATGGGAAAAACACTGAGTGCTGTGTATGCTGCCTTGAGGTTCACCAGGAAAGGTGGGTTATAAATCCAACACATAACATCTATGAATCTTCTCTGTATCTACTCTGGCAGTATTATGACAGAACCTAATAATATAACTCACCAGGGATTTGTATATCTGCTCACATTCCAATGTGATATGCCATTGCTTGCCTGCAATGTCTTACTTTTTTTCCCCTTTAAAAGGATAAAAGTAGTAATCAGTTAGAAGCCTGGATTTCAACTTGGCTCAAATGTAAAAGTGGGGGAACTGTCAAGAGAGACAGAGACCGGTTTCATTTTTACTTTTATGAGTACCTTGACGTTTCCTTCAAGTGGTCAGCAAAATAGTACCTGCAAGCACTCAGGCATCCATCATCCCCTAAAATTATATTCAACATACAAAAGTAAAATGAGAATAAATCTGAAATATCATGAGATGAAAAACACCAACAACTTGCAAGATTCTTGAAGGGAAATTACCAATGATTCAGCACTAGGGCTATTATGTGAGATTGCACAATTATGCCTCTAGATCAGTGTTGTCCAAACTTGGCCACTTTAAGATGAGTGGACTTCAACTCCCAGAATTCCCCAGCCA